TTTTTTTTTTTTAAGAGACAGTTTTGTTTTGTTGCCCTCAGTAGAGTGCTGTAGTGTCACAGCTCACAGCAACCTCCAGCTCTTGGGCTTAGGAGATTCTCTTGCCTCAGCCTCCCAAGTAGCTGGGACTACGGGCGCCCGCCACAACGCCCGGCTATTCCTTAGCCTCTTTAAAAACAAAAAACAGCACAATAAAGTGTTATCTGATATAAAAGTAACATACACTTACCATTCAAAATTGTCATCCAATAAAAAGAGCAGTTTCAATACTACCACAATGATAGCTACAGCTTGTAAATCATATTTAACAGTTTTTGCCCTTTTCGCTATAGGATCAAATGTCAGAAAATCCACTTCTCCTACTCCAGTCATTTTTACCACTTGGCAAGCTAAACTGTGCATTTCATCTGTTAAAAAATAAAACAATAAAATGTAAATTAAATTCTTTGGCTAATTAGCCCATACAAACATGCATACTCACAAGATAACCCTTATCTTAAAACATGATACTACCGTGATAGAACCCAGAGACATACATTTCGTATCAAATAAAGTAAACCAAAAAACTATTTATCTGCATAGAAAACTAATGACAGAATCTTGGCAAGGCATATTACTCCCTATTTTGACCTTATGAAACATTTCCTCTTTGTAGCGCACACCTTAGAACCCTGAGGACAGCTACGCAGCAGCATCTGGTTGTTTCATCCATGTCTCTCATCTGCGTTTTTACAGCAGTGTGTGCTTACCTGAAACAAATTCCCTTGAAAGACCAAAAAGCTTCTCTAGGAAAGGACATGTACTGGCTGGCATCCTGGCTAACACACTGGAAGCCATCAGCAAGTACTTAACTAGATATACTGCTTTCCTAAAGAAATTACATGCTCAGCATAGACTGCATTTATTATTCAAGGATGAATAACATGGGACTAGGAGCCAGGAAACCTAGGACCCGTATTTAGGCTTTCTAATCATTAGCTCGGTGACTCTAAAATCGAGTCACTTATCTTCAGTTTCTTCACTTGTAAAATGGGTTACAATGAGGATAAATTGAGACAAGACAGCACAGGTGAAAACTCTTAAGTTACTAAACAAACTTCTGTATTCCCTAATTAAGTACCTAAGATGTACCACATGTTATTTTAATTAATTTCAAGCAAAAGCGCCATTATTTGTAAGAGCATAATGAACTTGCACAGATGGAACCGAATCTCCTACATACATTCAATCATCATGTCCTGCTGATTCCATCCCCTCAATGCAGCATACAATACCTTGGTTACCAGTAGACTGTGGAACTAAAGGGCCTGGGACTATGTAATTTTACCAGCTCTGTAAACTTGAACAAGTTACATGATCTCTCTGTGCTTCAGTTTTTAAAAAACCTGCATAAAAAAGGAACAACAATAGTGCCTACTTCATAGTTATTGTGAAGTTTAATGAGTTAATATAACCAAAGCACTTAGATTAGTGCTGACTGCTCTCAAATCAGTGCTGACTACTCCCTTTTCTCTCTCCACTGCTGCTCCTTAGTTGACCCTAAAAATTGGTAGCCCTCGTTCTGGTATTCCCCTGCTGTGGTTCAACCATTTCATTCCCTTGCCTTCATGAACCCATTAAAACTTCTAGCTCCCCAGCCTGAGTAGATCTCTACAGTGCACCAAACAAGCCGTATTCTCACTCGGTTCTTTGCTTTGCACAGCTACTTTTGACCTTTTGTCTAAAGAGTCAATATCTCATCTCCAGCTTTGCTGGGCTGATAATCACACATCTTATAGAACTCAGTTATACCAAATCACTTCTCCTGAGAATGCCTGTGTAATGCCAGCAGACATCTTTGATCAGCCCTCCTCTGAGTGCTAAGGCAGCTCCTGGTATTCACCCCGCTCCTGCATACACTTAAGGGTTTACTTCTTTATCTTCTTCTTAAACTTGAAAGTGACTGTGTTGTTGTATGTCTTCCTAACTGTGGCAACCTACACATAATTGGTACTAATTCCATGTTTATGATAAAGAATGAGTAAAATACAAAACTAATTTCTTTCTCGAAATGTTTAAGTAAAAATTTTGTATTGATTAGAAATGCTTGTTTATACAGAAATAGAATGCACATAACAATGATAATTCAAAATATGGCATGAAAGCACTCCTACATGTCTACTACATTCTAATAACAGCTAAAGTGTTCACTTGGTTTTTACTCATTCTTTTCATTAAACATTTATTGAGTAACTATGTTTTAGGTACCTGAGATAAACAAACAGTCCTTTCCTCAAGGAGTTCAGTGTTTAGTAAGAAGTAAGTATTTATTTAGAGACAGGCTTTCACTGTGTCATCCTCGGTAGAATGCTGTAGTGTCACAGCTCACAGCAGCCTCAAACTCTTGGGCTCAAGCAATTCTCTTGCCTCAGCCTCTGAGTAGCTGGGACTACAGGTGCCCGCCACAACGCCCAGCTATTTCTAGAGATGAGGTCTCACTCTTGCTCAGAATGGTCTTGAACCTGGGAGCTCAGGACAATCCACCTGCCTTGGCCTCCCAGAGTGCTAGGATTACAGGCATGAGTCACCGTTCCAGGCCTTAACAAGTAAATACGTAAAATGAAATATGCTAAGGAATATGACAAATATGGTGCTTTGGGGGAAATGCAAATGGTCCAACAAGTCTTTAATGTTGAAATGTATAGAGGTCAGGAGTGCCAGATCATGAAGATTTTTGTATAATACGGAATTTGGACTTACTATTGTCAAGTTAATTTTACTTACAGACTCCACCTGAATTTACTCCTATCAATTCCACAAGCATTCACTGAGTATCCACTATGTATAAGACATTGTGGTGGAATAGGAAAGTAGAAAAATGAGTAATAAATAGGATTCTAGCACTTAAATACATACATTTTAAAATACATTCACTAAAATTTTACCTAAAATCCATATTGGAAGATAGAGGATACAGTTTTCTTTTCAGATAACTTAAAATTCATAACTATATTAGTACTATTTTATAAAGAATTATATTTCTTGAAATAGTTCCCTACCTTTAAAATTAGTATCTTTAACTTCTTGTTCTTCTTATGCCAAAAGTACAGTTATAAAAAGGCAAGTGGAAGAAATTATGAGAAAGGTAGCAAAGACAGTATAGGATCCTGAAAGGCAGCACAATGTGGAAGAACACAGGATTTGGAATGGGAAGACTGTGCTGTAAGAATACTCAGCCACCTGATGCCACTGGATCTCCCTAAGCCTCATGGGTCATTGGGAATCCCACTTGCCCTTCTCACCTTCACAAAAGAGAAAATACACACGGGGGCACTTTGGAAGCTCTGAAGTCCTCCAGAAATTACATAAATAATAATGAAAGCCGCCAGAAACTCTACCCATCAGGTGCTTGTAGCCCTGGGAAGAAGCACAACTAGAAAGTACAACTGAGCTCAGTCACAGCCTCACAGGAGCAGTGCTTATTCGGTCAGGGTGTGCAACATACTCGCTGAAACCTCACCTTCAAGCTCCAGAGGCTACGTGGTCACCATTACAGGTGTATTTGTTGCCCCAGTATGCTTAAAACTACTTTTAGCTTTCTGGGAACCCTAGAACCTCCCTACCCACCCCCCCCACCTTTTTAAATCAATGGCACCATACAAATGATAGCATTGTTGAGAGCAATATTTATAAATTTTGATAATGGCACAACTGGGAAATTCTCTTACAATCTTATGGATAGGTGGTTTGCAAATCAACTTCAGACATTTTAGAATCTAAATCCTAAGGCAGGCGTCCTCAAACTGCGGCCCATGGGCCACATGCAGCCTGCTGAGGACATTTATCCCGCCCGCTGGGTGTTTTTGCTGCCACTGCCTGTCCTGCTTAGCAGCTGACTGGTCCCAGGGCCCACAGTCCCGCCCTCAAATGGTCTGAGGGACAGTGAACTGGCCCCTGTTTAAAAAGTTTGAGGACCCCTGTCCTAAGGTACAGCAGTTACATCTTAATCTGCAGATTTACTTTGTTAAAAAACAGTTATTGCTTTCCCCTCACTAATTACACAAACTCAACATAGGACATTTATAAGATACGTAAAGACGGCAGAAAGAAAGCAGTAATGTGCATTACTGTAACTTAGGAATAGGTGCTTTCATATTTTGACATATTTATTTCTAATATTTTTATGAACATTTTCATTTTATGTAACTATAATCACATTATATATAATTCTGTAATTTGGCTTGCTCCATTTTTTATAATAACATAAGCATTTTCTGTTCTTATTTTTTATTTTTTGCGGTTTTTGGCCGGGGCCGGGTTTGAACCCACCACCTCCAGTCTATGGGGCTGGCATCCGACTCCTTTGAGCCATAGGCGCCACCTAGCATTTTCTATTCTTTTATTAATTCTTCATTATTAAAGAACAATTAAGAATAATTATTTAATATAATTATTTATTTAACATTATTTAAAAAGCTACATAATGTTCCACTGAGTACATGGACTACTGTTTAACTTTAACCTTTCTGTTGGATATAAGTGGGGCAGACTTTTTTTTTTTTTTTTTCATTTTTTGGCTGGGGCTGGGTTTGAACCCGCCACTTCTGGCATATGGGCTTGGCACCCCACTCCTTTGAGCCACAGATGCTGCCCTGATCTTCTGTATTATAAACAAAATGGCCAATAATATTTATGTAGAATTTTTTTCTACATTTCAAGTAATTTCTATTGAACAGACTTGAGAGAAGTGAAACTTTTCTACTCTTATTCTTTATAATATGCCTCCAAAAAAGTAACTTGATAAATGTCAAATGACAATAATGTCTCTCTGCATATTATAATGGATTTCATTTTACTACCTCAGGAAGCATTTGGCAAGAAATACTGTTAAACTATTTACATCACCCAGAAAAAACTATTTCTTACTCTCTATGTAATTACAAACACATGAAATAGATGGGTACTATTAATCAGACTAGTTATACTTTGAAAATCTCTAGCAGTCCATTCATAACCTAGCATTCTCTTTATAAATTCAAGATTTTGAAATTATGATAGAATACAGGAAGTCTCCACCTTGGAAAGAACCATCAAAAAGGGAAAAAAGAAATCTAAAACACTAATTCTGACCTATAAAGTACATTAAAATGTAGAAACCAGAGCATCCAAATTCTGAAATCCCAGTTATTGACTTCTGAAATCTGAATGAGGCATTTATTTCTTAGCCTTATAAATTATTCATTTTAAAAGTTAATTTTGTCCGTTTTTAAAAATATTTTAAAATTATAGACAATATTTTCATTTGTGCATATATATGTTACTAAACATTTATATTTATTTTTATAGTTAAGGTACATATAATTTTGTATATTGTCTTTTTCATACAATATGCTTATTTTCTTCTTCTATTAAAAATACATTCAATCCCATTTTTGATATTGCTTAGGCAATGGTATAGTCATACTATGTTTGTATTTTCTCTTAAGAATATAAGTCCTAAATTTCTCACATTTCTAGTCTAGCAAGAAATTCAGGATTGGATTCCACTGGCAGATTCCATTGGGGTTACCTGTGTCTTAATAGATGGTGAACCAGGTCTAGTGAGGCTCTTTGGCATTTTGTACATTGCTTTGAACAGTTCACTATAATCTGACCAGACTTTGATCTCCATTTGTTTTAGGGACTAAAAATGGCATGTGTAAAGCCAAACAATAAAAACATTATCACAGCTTAGCTTCCGGGATTTTTAAAAAATTGAGAATTTGTGGCCAGATGCAGTAGCTTCCACCTGTAATCCCAGCACTCTGGGAGGCCTAGGCAGGTGGACTGCCTGAGCTCAGGAGTTTGAGACCAGTCTGAGCAAGAGCGAGTGAGACCTCCCCCATCTCCACCCAGATACCCAAGAGGCTGAGCCAAGAGGATGGCTTGGGCCCAAAGAGTTTGAGGTTGCTGTGAACTACAATGCTATAGCACTCTACCATGGATGACTGAGACTGTCTCAAAAAAAAAAAAAAAAATTAAAATTTATTCTGTAATGTTTCATGCAAATAAACAAGTGCTATTTTTTGACGAATTAGACTAGGTCATGAATAAAACATATTGAAAAACTTGTTACGTTACACTTAGCAAACTTAAGACAAAAACCAGACATATCCTCTCAAGCATAAATCCCTCATTTCAAAATAGAACTCTATTTCTGAACCATGTCTGTTTAATCATTTCAAATGGTCTGAATTTTTTTTTTTTTTTTTT